AAGTCTGATGAGGAGCGGCTGAGGGAGCTGGGGTTGTTCAGCCTGGAGAAAAGGAGGCTCAGGGGAGACCTTATCGTGCTCTACAACTGCCTGAAAGGAGGTTGTAGCGAGGTGGGTGTCGGTCTCTTCTCCCAAGTAACTAGCGATAGGATGAGAGGAAATGGCCTCAAGTTGCACCAGGGGAGGTTTAGATTGGATGTGAGGAAAAATTTCTTTCCTGAAAGAGTGGTTAAACATTGGAACAGGCTGCCCGGGGAAGTGGTTGAGTCACCATCCTTGGAAGTATTTAAAAGACGTGTAGATGAGGCGCTTAGGGACATGGTTTAGGGGTGGAGTTGCCAGTGCTAGGTTAATGGTTGGACTTGATGATCTTAAAAGTCTTTTCCAACCTAAACGATTCTATGATTCTATTATTGTTTATTCAAAGGTGATATTTATTTTGTTCTGCATAATTTCACAGACAATAAGTCATAAATAAAGGAGCTTACATTTTAAGTGAGTTATACTAATTTAAGTATGCAAGTTTGCACAGCCTGGTATCTAGTTTTAAGTAGAATTATTGCTCACTTGTATCTGTGCGGTTACTCATTTCTCTGACTGCATCATATTTGACGTCATACTATGGTATTATTTTAACCGTTGTTGTTCAAAGTACAGATTTCCCCTCTTTAGCCCTCTTTAGCATTACATGAATGAGACAGGCTAGGTAATTTTTTTTGTTGGAGCTTTTTGTCTCTTCCCCCCCCCATTTTCTTTAGAGGTGTGCTGTATTCATTTTATTTCTGCAATGTGATATAATGACAATTAAAAATTTACACCGGTGACTGACAATAGAATTTGGGCCAAGGTGCTGGGTCAAAAGAGCACTTAGTGTAGTTATTTCCTGAACATGGAAATAAGTTACTGTTTTTGGAGGACAGCATCTGCTTTGTTAGTCCTAACCTGTAGGTCGGGTCACTTTACTTCAGGCTGAAAAAGCCAACATGAATTTTCAGACAAATGAAAACTACACAGTTAAGTATGCACAGTTTGGTCAAAGTAGGAGATTTCAGTTTCTGGAAATATAATGGAAAACTGGGGATGCATTAGGCTTGTCAGTCAATATAAAACTTACAAACTGAAACAGTATTTAGTCTTTTTACCTTTCTTTTTCTTTATTGTATTGCATAATTGAAATCAGAAGAACACTGATTCAGGAAACATAGTAAAAATGTCCCCTCTCATTTTAATCAGAATATCCATATGGATTTGCATAATAAGTGTTCCTGCTCCAGATGCTATTTAATTTATTAATTTAATTAAATGTATAGGAATACAGTTGTCAGAGCATTCAGTTAATAGTAGTCGTTCTTTCACAACCAAATGCCTGAGCCCCATGAAGTAAAAACCAAGCATCCTTTACTGCTCCAATAATGCAACAAGCACTGAAAATGAGAAGTCTTGACTTATTTAGATTCAGTTAAGAAGACAGACAATGTGTAGTCATTAGACAAATAATATCTTATGTCATTGACTCTTTTCAAATAGCTCTAGTTCTCTGTCAGCTGGACAATCTTCAAGACAAATACCAAGTACATAGACACATAACAACTCTCGGTGTCATGAAGTCAGCTTAAAGCTGACATTAAAATTAAATCAAATTAAAAATAACCCAGTAAACTAACCCATAACTAGAGTTTTTTACAACTGATGCACAGAACTCATAAAGGCAGTTTTGTACATCTGTTAAATTTCTTAAGTGATTATTAGATTGGAATTCTCACACCAGGCACTAATCTGAAGTCTATGTGCCAGAAAAGTGTTGAAAACATTTTGAGTTCCCTTGCCACCACTATAGTCCAAAACATACTTTAATGTCAGTAGTACTAACATAAACAAGTGGATTCCTATAACTCTTTACAATTACATGGCAAAAAACTGATGACTTTTCAATTTAAAAAAGCATACAAAATAATGTACTTATTTTTTAATAATTACCTATCTGCAGATTTGCTTTAAGTTGCATTTGCAAAAATTTTGCAAAACAAAACCATACTGCACAAATTATTAGTATTTCTAAAAACAATACTGAGCAATAGAGAGCACATATCTGTCTTATAAGATGATGCTTGAGATAAAAATGCTTCTAAATATATATTTAATAATCTGATAAAAAATATTAAATTGAAGCTGATAAAAGCCTAGGGCATTCTTTAGGATTGCTTCCAGTTATCCCATTGGGGACAGGATGCAATCCTGTATTTCTGTATATTTGTAGAACTATGATAGGGTGGGGCTCTTTAAGGGTGTTAAAACTGAGGAATTACAAGAATTGAACAGGCACTCTGTTCTCTCTTTTATATCTCCTCCTGAAGGCCGTTTCAAATAGTATTAGATAGGAAATCACAATAACGTGGTGTACACACTGAGACGTTCAAGTTCTGAGCATATGAAGCAGCCCTGTGGTGCATCTTTCAGAGTTTATGTCTTTCTGCTGTTCATCACCTCGCTGCTAATTGACTGAATAGGGTGTCTTCACTGAAGAGCAATTGAAGGCTAAGCAAAATCTGCTTGTTTAGCATTATTTAGGCAGGCTGAAGCTACCCACTGTGCCAGTGCTTGCCCTGTATCCCAGGGAGTTTTGTAGCATAGCTGATTCATAGCATAGCGAAGTATATATCTTTGTTTCTAACTGATTTGTTCTGATTCTGCGATCAAAATGAATTATGGGAGAACCTGACAAACTTCCTTGGGACATGGAGGGGACTTTCGGGGAGCACTGAGGGACTGTGGCCTCTCAAGTCCTTTAGCCTCTAGCCCTGCCGTGGAGTTGGTGGGTCACAAGTCATAGTGAAAGCCTCCCTGGGGGCACAGTGTGAGCATACAGCAGGTCTGGTCATAGGGCTCCACATCAAAAATCATTGATTGGTTGTAAACTTACTGTTAGAATTAAATCGTTCAAAATACTTCAATGGCTTTAGTCTGTACTGTCAAACTTCATGCTGGGATCACATGTAATTGGTCTTTGTGTGACTGACATAAAGCCAACATAGAAGCACACTGCTGGCCTGAATGCCATGCTCCATGTTTAGCTGCGTGCCAATGCCTGATTTGGATCAAATCTGTGCTGTTGAGTGATTTAGGAGTGCGTAAATCTGGAGCACCTGATGATGTAACCACAGCCACAGTTCTTTGCTTATGAACCAGGTGATAAGACAATAGCCTGAATTGAAACCACCATTCAGGTTTACGTTGAAGGGAACTTGGAGAGGTAAAACCCTGGGTAAATTCCAAGTATATATCCTGAATGACTTCAAGCAAGAGAAAGCAAAAAAATATTTTTTGTTAAATTTTATTGTCTTTTGCAAGTGAATAGCTGTCAGTGTGTCTAAGAGAATCACATTTTATGGAGTAGAAGGCTAGGGGAAGATGATTACACAGAGGTGTGCTGTTAAATAAATATAAAATGGAATTAGGCAAAAGGTATTCACAGGACATACAGGTTGTCATCCCTTTCTGTCTTGGTTATCAGCAATCTGCCATACTTAGAGCTTCTGTGTAACTTTTGGAGAGGTTTATACAGGAATCTTTTTTTCCTGTAACCCACAGGGGACGTTTGTGACTCCAACCCATGCAAAAATGGTGGCATCTGTCTGTCGGGGCTGAATGATGACTTCTACTCATGCGAGTGTCCTGAAGGCGTCACAGACCCCAATTGCTCTAGTGTTGTGGAGGTTGGTAAGTGCAAACTTTAAATGCTGGAATCTTGAGTATCCCATTAGTCTGTGGCTGGCTAACCAGTGATCATGTCCACGGCATTTTGTATAGTGCTGTGGTCATTGCATTGTTCATTATTGGTTTCTTAACCTTATTTCTATATCATAGATATCTATGTCATAATTAACAGACAGTTAAAACAGTATCTGACAAGTGTATCTGCAGAACATAATCACTCAGAAAAGTTCAGCACTCTACTTCACAAAAAGATCATAGCTGTGACTTAAAGTGACCAACATTTCTCAAAGATCAATGTATATATCGTTCTGCTGATCAATGACCATTCAAAGCTTGGTTTCTGATAGTTTTATGCCTAGGTCCAGAGTAAAGAGTAATTACTTAAACAAGTGAAGAAACAGTATAGGAGAAACCAGAATAACACATAGTAGTCACTTGTTTTAATTTCAAAACAATTACCCAGCTGGAGGTTATAATTAATCATTATATGAGTGCATAGAGTGCAAGTCAAATGTACTGAAATTTTGTGATGTGTATTTGACTCAGAGTAAACATAAACATGAGTGGCAGCTCCAAAACATCCGGCAGGTCAGGCCTCCATCTTAAGAAAAATTAATGAGAAAATCAAAGTGCAAGGGAAAAGATGGTAGACAGCTCATTGTGTCACAGGCCATCCCATCATTTCTGATGGAGCAGAAGAGCTGCAAGTTGACCAAGATTTTATATTATCCCAAAGAAGGTATAAAGGTACGTATGGTAGAGCAAAACAATAAATAGACACTACTGTTTAAATAGGTACGTTTTCTACCTCTCTCTTCCATGGAGTTGTGGGAGTTAGGATAGGAAGGTAAAAGATACAGAAAAGCATTGACTTACAGAAGAGATGGCAGTGTCTCTTATTTTTTTCCTATTAGTAAAATACGCAAAAGTGGAGGTTCTGTGGCCATACCTCTTATCTGAAGGCTTTGCATGCCCTGCCTGCATTTCTTCTACTGACAACCAAAGTATTTGAAAGCAGTATGACCCTTCAAGTATTTCATATCATACGTCTGTGTCTGTGATTCATCAATCTGGGTTACGCTAACATGCTTCAGTCTGTGACGGCTGAGTAGTACTCGCACGTTTTGCTTCTGCCAGCTGTACTGTAGGACACCAACCCCAGGCAGAAAGGCAAGGCCAACAGCCTTGCTTCTACAGGTGTCTCATTGAAACTGTGACAGCTAGGCTCAGCACCTCTCTAACACTGCAACCATCCTAAATCTGTGTGGTTTTCATTTTTTAATAAATAAATAAAGGCTACACAGGCACAACCTGAATACAGGGTTGGTTTGGTTTTGTTTTGTGTTTTTCTTTTCTGAAAATGATGTTACTGTTGTTCTGGGAGTGAATTCTAAGTCTTCACAATGCAATTTTAAGGGAATTTGGATAGAATTTTATTTCCCTGAAGATAAGCTTTCTGCAGACAAATGAACTAGTTCCTGTGAAAGAATGACCAACTTTGGTCAGACACCAACTGCATTTTTTTCTGACTGTAAAATGTCATAGTAGCTGGTTATTACCTATCATTTGAGTTGCACAAGAAACTGCTTGTCCCCTTGGTGCAACCACACAAGAAGCCGGAAGACACTGCCTCAGAATCCTGTTTTCCATCCCTTTCGCTACGATTACCAGACTGAGATTTTTATGCATGCTTGAAGGGTCTGGATTTATCCTACAGCTGTATATCATGCTACCCTAAAATGGCCTTGACATGGGTTTACTGTAGAAAACTTGCATTGCACATAACTGGGAGGATGCCGATCATGAGTGAATCTGAGATAAAAGCATATTGTGGTACTTGCCACTGTAATTTACAACTAAATATTAACAGGGCTTTAAAAAATACACATATACTTAACTAAATTCTTCAAACACTTCACAAAAATCTCAGTCTGGTAAACAGAGTAAAGCATAAGCAAATAGAGAACTTGAGAATATGAGGTAATGACAGCACTTATGCAGACAGAGTAGTACATTTTTAGTTTGCAATCCAGAGGGAGTATCTGCCAGACAACATTGGTTAAGTAAAGGACTTATTAATCTTCCTGTATTAGCTAAAATCCAGAGTGTTAACTTAATTTGTTTGTCCTGTATGATTATGCTACATGTATGGATTCAGAGACTAGCCATTACTTTTTGAAATAGTTTTTAAAGTAATCTTTTACTTTTTAGTAAAGGCTGTCTGAGGCTTATTCAGCATTATATTCCCCTACGTAGAGTCATATAAACCACTGAAGAAAACATTATTTCAAGATAGTATTTTGTTTTTTCCTATGAAAATGATGATGATGAATAGTGTAAGCTATTAGTCAATTAGGCTCAATTAATTCAAATACTGGAGTGTTTCAAGTAAAATAATAAGGTGAAGTATGGGTGTGTGAGAAGCCAAGGAATGCAAGACTCCGTGTGATCACTGTTACCAAGAGTGTTTATTAGCAGATGCAAGATTGGAGAAAGAATGCTAACAAAGGTTACTTCTCTTTGGCTTTTTAATGAGTTGTTGCCCAAAAGCTATTTCTCTTAATACTTAGTATCTCAAAAAAGTTTCTTGACTATTTCCTGTGTAGTTGAAAACACTAATTTGTTTGAAAATTAGGCATTTAGGATGTCGGAAGGCACTGAGTAAGAAGAAAAGAGGAGGGTAGGGGAAAAAAACAATGCAGAGAGGAGCTTATGTCAGTCCGTCTCCCCTTGAAAGGGCTGCACAGCAAATTTTAAAAGCAGTTGAGTGTACTGTGTGGCCCTCTCATTAGATACTCCACTATTAGACTTTATTTAGTCCTGGTGACAGGATACTGTTGATCTCTGGACAATAGCTGGAGTGTCACAAATTTTCAAGGAACATACCTCAGACAGGAGGATTTCACAGTGAAAGGTAACAGGGATTTTACTTAATCACACATTAAAGTGGGTAAATAAAAAACAATGCCATACAGATAAGAAGTTATAAATTCACGTAAAGGAAAAAAGATAGATGCATAAAAGTATATAAAGGTAGGAAGATTAAATATTTAGGCAGAAGTCTTACCTAAGTCAATCAACAAAGATTCAAGACAGTTTGGGAGCCGCATGAATATTTCAAGGACTTAAGAATGTAAGTCCTGTTATTATCTTAATAAAACTAAGATGTAAAATAACCCAACATGATTATAGCACCTTATTTCAGTCTAAGAAGATTCATTATTGCTCTTTTTTTCTAAATTTACCCATGAAAAATCCTGACTCCTCTGCCATACCTCACCACTATTTTCTGATCCGGTAACTTTGAATGTATCTAAAACAATTTTTTTGTGAAATGTTTGTAATAGTAATTTTTATATTTTAAGTTTCTAATCCTATTCTGATCCTACTCTTTCTCTAATGGTAATCCTGCCTTATTTCCTATGTTTCCTTATACAAAATACTCTACATAGTCATGCTAAAAGAGTTGAGATTAGACGATAGATCTATAATATCACCCCGTTTGTGCAGCCAGGTCATTTCAGTGCTTTGTGTATCCTAACATTCTAAATATCTGATAAACTGGCAGAGAATAAGATAGAGGCAAGCAGGAAAAAGTACACTGTGGTTCTTTTCAGTACAGCACATTCTCCAGTGAGGTAGAAAACTATTTCGCTAAATAAATAAGAGTAAAAGGTAATTATATCAAGCTTCCCAAATAGCAGGATGTTTTCCAAAGATAATAAGGTCACTATGGCCTGAGTTACCTCTTTGGCAGACTCCTATCTATATCTTTGGAAACAGGAATTTTAACCTAGATTGAAAAGGATTCACATGTAATTAACATCGGTATTGAAATGCATTACAGACAACAACTTGACAGACTTTACATCATTTAAATAATTCACAAGTAATTGTCAGAAACTGTATAAATTACAGAAATACCATAAACTACAACTGTTACATACAATTAATAGAAGTCTTTAGTACATACTGTTCAGGAAAACTATTAACATGAGTCCTAATCCACATGGGTAGTTGATGAAAGAAAAGTAGCTTAGTCATGGACAGTGCATGAGGGGAGCAGTGACAGTGTGGGTATATATATTGAAATAATACTGGGAGAATTTTTTTTTTTTTACATAAAAATTATTCCTGTTTTGTTTGGTGTGTGCATAGGGGAAAACAGGGAGAGAAATACATGACTGAAGAGAAAAGTTAAAGAAAGTGCAGCTAAATTTAGTATGCCATAAGGCTATCACAGTATGTACCATGAGTGACCAAGTTGTTCACGTTTGAAACATGAGCAACTTAAAACTATTCAGTCTTGATCCTCCAAATCTGAAATTCAGTTGTTGTCTGAGAGGATAAACTGGCAAACATGTTTAGTTTATGTAAGTGGAAAAATAAATGATGTACAATGATAGGGAGGGTGGAGGAGTTATGAGCACATTAGAGAAGAGCTGGGAACCCTCTTCAAAGCTGCATTCAAATAGGCTGTCAGTACCCTTTTGGAAAGTGTCTTTACCTTTTGCATCAGCTCTCAATACTCACTGAGAAGAACTTGTTATTGAAAACCGTGGTAAAAAAGTCTATGTGCATTTTAGAAGGATGGAAAGGCAAGTTAATGATCTTATACACATAATACAGGAAACTTGGGTCTAAATTCAGCATGGTGGCTGAGAGAAGGGAGGAGAGCTGAAAGGAAAAAAAGAGGTGCCAGTTTTGCATTACATCTTTATTCTGCCAAGTGATTAAGAAGTGATTGTGGGGTTCCTTGTTTATCACATTGCAGTGCTTTCCGTATCAGTTTAGTCTTTCAAGTGTCCAAGGGAAACTATTTCTTTGACAGCTACTGTCTCTGAGCCTGGGACACAGGAATCAAAGAGGTTCTTCCCTTTTCGTGCTGTCAGATAAAAATTCAGTAAGATGGATTAGACCCAGAGTGCTATGATCTGTTGGCTTTGTGGCTTTCTTTGCACGACCTAAGTCTCTACCTTTGCTGTCCTGATCTCTGCACAAGA